ATGGACTAAAGCGTGACAACAGTAGGGAGGTTGGCCCAGGATTGGGCAGTGTTTCGTTCTGCTGTGCATAAGGTCACTATGGGTCAGTACCAACTCGATGGCACCTAACAACAACAAATATATACGTATGTGCATATTTGCTTGTATATTTTCCATATATGTATATTTAGCTAATTACTCAATGTTGCTGTAAACTAATCAGTCAGAAATGTTATAAAAGTTTGTAAAGATTCCAGTGGGCTGAGGAACACTCTGCAGGTATCATAGAGGAGTTGGATTTAGAGCGAGACCTTGAAAGTAGAGAAGAATATAAGGTTTTGTGACCATAGATACAGAGACAGCAATGTGTGAGGAATGTTTAAGAGTGTTGAATTTGACAAGAATGTTGTTGTTGTTGTTAAGTGCTGTCAAGTCGATTCCGACACCTAGCGACCCTATACAGGGTTTCAGAGGCTGTAAATCTTTACGGGAGCAGAAAGCCTCATCTTTCACCCACAGAACAGCTCGTAGTTTCGAACTGCTGACCTTAAGGCTCGCAGCCCAATTCGTAACCACTATGCTACCAGAGCTCCTTTTGACAAGAATAGGAGCTAATAAATTGGTCACTGGTGGAGCTGGATATGGAAAGAAATTTTATATTAGATTGAAGAGCTAGATTATAGAATTGTAAGTAGGAAGGACAGAGGAAAAGGAAGCATGAAAACATTTCCAGGGTTAGTAATTAACTAGTGAAGTGTGTGGGTATGTGTGTGAGAGAGAATGATGAGTCATCAAGAAAGATGTGATGTCAAGAGCGAGTCCAGATATGGGTTCTGGCCATTCTTGAAGATAAAAACTAAAGTGTATTTTTATCTTAACCTGCATATTTTCTTGCTGGAAGCAAAGAGAACTTAAAATACTGATGAAGATCATAGACTTCAGTATGAATTGCACTTCAGTGTAAATAAAGTAAAAATTCTTATAACTAGAACAATGAGTAACATGATAAACGGAGAAAAGATTGAAGTTGTTGAAGACTTCAGTTTGCTTGTATTCACAATCAGCATGCATGGAAGTAGCAATCAAGAAATGAAATGACATATTGTATTAGGCAAATCTGCCCCAAAAGACCTCTGTAAAGTGTTCAAGAGCTCAGATTCAGATCTTTTGAGGACTTAGGTGCTCCTGACCAAAGTCACAATATTTTCAATAGCATCCTGTGTGTGTGAAAGTTGGACAATGAATAAGGAAGACTGTAGAAGAAATGATGCATTAAAGTTATGGTGATGTAGAAGAATATTAAAAATACCATGGACTGTCAGAAGAACAAGCAAGGGAAAATTACAGCCAGAATGCTCCTTAGAAGCCAGGATAGCAAAACTTTAACGAACAAGTAGACTTTTTCTACATGTAAGGATGTGTGTGTGTATTTAGTTATATATTAAAAAATATTTATTGTGAATTGGGTGAACATTTACAAAGCACATTACCTGCTTTACAACTCATACACAATTTCTTTCCTCTCACTGATTGCAGTGTTGCTTCCGCCATGTTTCCTGTTTTCATTCCTCCTTTTCTAACCCTTCTGAACTTTGTTCTGAACATCTGCCCTTTTGAGCTCAAAACGGTTGATATTCTAAAGTGTGCATATCTCACTGGTGTTACTGTTCCTCTTAAAACCCCTGTCTATTGTTCAGTTAAAAATAGGTTTTTTAATGGCTAAACTAATTTTTTTTTTCATTTTTAAAATTCTTAGATTTATTTTCATGCTTAATTATTGTTATTTCTTTTACTATCCGAAATTTAGAGTTCATCATGATTATAGACACATCGTTAATACAATAGCAAAGGAAACATAAAAATGTCAAAATAAAATAGATAATGTTGGTTTTCCAATTTAGTTCTATAAAGTTTATATTACAAACAAGTTAATTTGAATATAGCAGTTTATTGTTATTGTATTCAGTATTGCCAAGTAAAAATTAAATATTTGTGTGTGTGTGTGTGTATATATATATATATATACATATACATACAATCTTTGTTTCTGCTAATCCATTGGCAAAACTAGAGGCTTTGGTTGTGACTTGAGATACCAAATCCTTCTACAAATATCAGCTAAATTGTAGGTACAGTTGAACGCTTGAAGGACACACATCTAAGAACCCTGGGTTTTTTGTTTATGTACATTTGGTGGGTTGAAAGTGGGACATTTCACTATACCAGTGTTAGTTTTGCCAACAATAGGAAGGTGGAGGAATGTAATGACCTATGTTTTACTTTGAGAGGAATTTCTCTTACTTCAATTTTTTAAATAGTTTTTGTATTTCTAGCAGTTCAGTAGTAGAACTGTGTGTCATTTATCTGCTGTGAAACATTTTGTTTCCACTTCTCATTTTTGTTTTAGGCGATTTTGAATTGCTCTGCATTACCCTGTCTCCTACACTTACTGAGTAGTCCAAAGGAGTCAATTAGAAAAGAAGCCTGTTGGACTGTTTCTAACATAACTGCTGGAAACAGAGCTCAGATTCAGGTGAGACCTTTGATATCTGAGGATAGCACATGAAGGTCTCAGCTACCAGTCTAGACAAAAATCAGCATTTTATCAGTGATAGTTTTACTGAGTTACTAGCAAAGTTTCTTTCAAAAAGATTCTTGAAAGAAAAAATTTAAAAAGTGTGATCTTTTTCTCTTCTAAAATGATAATTTGTAGTCTTGTAAGGATGCCAATTTTATAAGTAAGAATGCCTCACATGGTGCGTGACCTGTAATGGTCAGTCTTTAAAAAGTGATTGATTTTCATTCGTTTTACATGAGTTAGGCAGCGATCAACCTCTAAAAGCTTTTAATGGATAATTCCAGCCTTGTCAAGCTACTTGAGTCAGTGATTACCTCCCATACTGATAAATCATCTCTTTTTGTGCTTTATCATCTTTAAATTGTGTATTCTTTTGGTGTGATGCTGTAGGATAAGTGCTGGACTACTAGCCACAAGGTTGGTTTGCTCCTCAGAAATTGTTATGACTCGGGACCGACTTGAAGGCGCTTAACAACAGCAATATCTTCTCTAGTCTTCAAAAGCTAATATCCTCTTTCTAAAGGAAATTATGTGAAAGTTTATTGACACATTTTGTTATATTTGTTAAGTAGCCCCGAGTCAATTCTGACTTCTAGAGCCCCTACATAGGGTTTCCAAGGAGCATCTGGTGGGTTTGAACCGTCGACCTTGTGCTTAGCAGTCCAGTGTTTATCTTATAATGGTGCCACATCAGGACTCCATTGACACATTAGAAATAATATACTTCCAAAGATATTTCCTGAAACCCCGACATCTTAAAACCATTACGTTTCAACATACATTTACTTTGTCATGTTTTAGACCAGTATATGCATTGATACCAGCTTTCTTTTTTTAGGCTGTTATAGATGCAAATCTTTTTCCTGTTTTGATTGAGATTCTACAGAAAGCAGAGTTTCGCACCAGGAAAGAAGCAGCATGGGCTATAACTAATGCCACATCAGGAGGTACTCCAGAGCAAATAAGGTGCAAATTTTTAAATGGTTTTTTACATATGAATAGGACACATTTTGAAATCAAACTTACTATTTATTGATTGAGCTAAAACATTATTTCTAAGTCAATTTGATAAGTAATTCTAATGTGAAATGACAGTATTTCTTACATCAATTATATTTGTCATTTTTATTAATTTAAAGTATGTTTAACATTGTTCGCAACAGACTGTTTATAGAGAATCAGCAATTAAAAGTCTAGAAGAGAGCAGTCTGTTAACTTGCAGAATACACTTTAATATCCTATGATAGGTATTTAATAGCTTTAAAGCACTAAAATCACAAGATATCTAGCTTTATTATATAGAAGTAGGCTAATAAATCTGAATATCCAGTTATTTAAACTAAAATTAAAATAGACATTTGTTTATATAGTGATGTCCTACTTAGTTGTTTGCCTTTCCTGTGGATAGTAGCTTATGTTTATTTAATTTTTTTTCCTTCTCTGTATTGGTAGCCTTTTAAATCTGTGCCTTTTATTACTGTTTATTTATTTTAGTGACAGTGTAAACTGTAGGTAGACTTTAAAGTTAGCCTGGTTTCAAATCTTGCTCTTTAGGTAAAAGATGTATGACTTTGACAAAGTCATTTAACTTCTCTAATCTATGTTTTCTTCATTTTTTTATTCATTCAATAACAGCATCTTATGGTACTATCTTGATAGCAACATTTATGTGCTTTCAAAGTGCTCAGCACAGTGCCTTAAATATTAACTTTTCAGCTAAGGTTAGCTGCTATTATCATTATTATTAATAAGAATCATGCTTCTTATTGCTATTACTAATTCCTAAGTCTCTTTTTATCATGTGCACTAAACTTTTTTTCCCACTCACCTTGCTAAGTCCCATATACCCTTATACAATCCTAACTTCCTACAGAATCTTCTTGTTCTGATGAGCTCTCCATGAAACACAAGACTTTTTAGGTTTCTTGAAGTGACTGCTTAGGAAATATCTCCTAATGAATATCTGTTTGATTTTTTTTTTTTTTTTAATTTATAAAACAGGAAATCAAATTACAGTGCCATTTTACAGATTATCAGAGCTTGAAATGTACCTTTTGTGACATAATTTTTTATTGTCTTTGTACTATTATTGTAAGATAATTTTAAAAATTGTCTTTGTACTATTATTGTGCTTTCTTGAACTATTCATATCTCTGTAAATTGATAACATTTGTCTGTTTTTTATTTTCTATTCCATTTGTTTTAAGCAATGTGTCCACTTCATTTTTAATATAAGATCTTTCCTTTGTTTTAGCTTGCATTTTCTTTAATGATAGTGTTACTTTTTATCTGTTCTTGAGCCCAAAGTTTCTTTGTGCACCTTACAAGCATTTGTATATTTTCACATTTATATCTGTCCCTTAATTTTTTTAGTCTGAATCAATTGTCCAGAATGGAATAATTATTTTTCTAACTATTTCAACTACTTCATTGACTGTGGTGGTGTGCCGTGGAGTTGGTTCTAACTCGTAGAGACCCTGCATAGGGTTTCTGAGGCTGTAAGTCTTTATGGCAGCAGAAAGCCTCATCTTTCTCTCTTGGAAAGTTGGGTGCTTTTGAACTTCTGACCTTGTGGTTAGCAGCTCGACTTGTAACCACTATACTAGAGCTCTTTAACTACTTCATTAGCTCTACATCTATAGGAAGAGGGCTTTTAGATATCAGATTAGGTTCAGCATGCATTCTATTATTACTAGTTGATGTCTAGTGTTGCCAGTTGTTGTACTAGATAAACCTTCTCAGTTATTAATAGCATCAATGTATCAGGCACTTTCATGTGTTTTATCTCCTCTAATCTTAAAACTTTGATGAGCGTCAGTTGTTCGTTCAGTAAATATTATTGGTTATAGTGTAATGTACTCCAGTGAAGTCTGAAAATTTTAGACATTTTACTTTTAAAAAGGGAGGGGAGAATGGAAACTTTTGTTGAGTGTCTACTGCATTGTATGCCAGATACAAGATAATCTGTGCAATGTACATTTTCTCATTTAATTATTATTACAAGTGTATGAAGCTGTTAATGTCTTTCTTTCATAGACTAGGAAACTAAGTCTCAATCCAAACAAAGCCACTCATTGCCATCAAGGTGATTCTGATTCAGGAAGAGTAATTTGGCTAATACTCACATGGTCAATAGTTGTTACTTTGTTAAGTGCCGTTAATTCGGTTCCGACTCATAGTGACCCTACATAGGATTTCCTAGAAGCACCTGGGGGGTTTGAACCACTGACCTTGTGGTTAGAGTCTAATGCTTACCCTAAAGCCACATGGTTAGTTGGATCACCTAGTAGTAATAAGTGGTGTGGCCATAATTTAAACCCAGATATATTGATACTAATTTCAGTGATGTTTACACTGTTTACTCATTTATTTTCATACCAATCGCCTCAGATTGGCATTATTATTATCTTTAGTTTAAGATGGAGAAACTGAGGCAGAGATTGTCTCAGGTCATACAGCTTGTAAGAACTGAAATTGCAACTTGAGCCCATGCTCTCTAGAGCCCCTGGGGCCCAGTGGTAAGCTGATGGTTGCTAACTGAACGGTCAGGGATTTGAACCCGCCAGCCACTCCACAGGAGAAAGATGCTGCAGTCCGCTTCCATAAAGACTACAGGGAGTCCCTGACTTATGACAGGGTTCTGTTCCAGCAGTTCAGGCATTTTTTTTAAAGGTTTTCATTATTATTGTTGTTAAGTGCATTTAAGTTGGCTCATAGAGATCCTTGCATAGAATTTCCAAGGACTCGCTGGTGGATTTGAGCTGCCATCCTTGTGGTTAGCAGTCCAGTACTTACTCCACAGTGCTATAGCAAATCTATGAATTGTAAAATTGAGCATCTCTGAGTGAACATCCGAAAATGATAACAGCAACAAATGACGCACTGAAACGTTGTTGTTAAGTACAGTTGAGTCGGTTCTGACTCATAGCAACCGTGTATACAGTTTTCAAGGAACTGCTGGTGTGTTTGAACCACTGACTTTGCGTTCCAGTGCTTATCCTATAGCACCACACCAGGACTTCATTACTAATGATGTTGTTGTTGTTGTTGTCAGGTACCATCGAGTCGGAACCGACTCATAGCCACCCCATGCACAGCAGAACGAAACAATGTCCGATCTTGGGCCAACCTCACTACCACTGCCACACTTGAGTCCATCAATGATGCCACCTGACCGATCCACCTTGTTAGGGGTCTTCCTCTTTTTCTCTGACCCTCCACCTTACCCAGCATGGCATCCTTCTCAGCGACTGTTTCCTCCGGACAATATGTCCAAAGTATGAGAGACGAAGCTTAGCCATCCTGACCTCCAAGGAGCGCTTTGGCTGCACTTCTTCCAAAACAGATCTATTGGTTCTTTTGGCAGTCCATGGCACTGTCATTATTT